ACGATACTTTTTATATTACTTGCAACCCGTCCGCTTGCGGTTAATCTAATCGGCGAACAAAAGTTCATACAAGTCAGTACGGGTAAAATGAAGCTCCAAGAAACACTAGCAAAGGGCTTGGCATATTAATTTTGAAAGTAGCCAATTTTTTCCTACCTTTCCTTGATATGTGGATCTGGTTCATCAGTTTTGTGGCTAGAACAATATTGTCCAAGATGAGTCTTTCCTTTGAAAAAGCATCTTGGTTGGGAGCTATCAATTTTCAGAGTACCTTTTTAAACATGAGGCATAAAATCTTAGAATGGATTTTATATATGACATTGCATAGACTTATAGGCCTTAGGTCTTTGAAAGTTTGCAAGTTATCAGACTTCTGTATAAGAATGAAGTGAGTTTTGTTAAAAGACCAAAGTAAGAATTCAGAGGATCCAAAACTGTTGAACATTTCATGAAGATCATCACTTATTAAGTACTAGAATTTTTGGAAAAAATGGGCATGAAAACCATCAGGTCTAAGGGCACTATCTTTTGGTAGTGAAAACATAGCTTCCTCAACCTCTTCTAAGGAGATAGGTTGTAATAGCCATTCAGCTTCTTCATTTGATAAGGTCGGAACAAAGATTTCATTTAAAGCATTTAGGACAAATTAGGGGTCTAAAGTGCCAGAGGAGTAATAGACATTTGAAAATGCCTAAAAGCCATGCCAAGAAGCTCTTCATTACTACTAGTCCATGAACCATCACTCATTTGAAGGCTTTTTATAGAATTTTTAACCTTCCTTCTATTTACTATTATATGAAAGAATTTTGTCTACCTTTCTCCTTCTACCTTCCATTTTAGTTTAGCACGTTGGGCCCATAAGCTATTGTCACAATCACAAAAAAATTCTAAATTATGTCAAGCTTCCTTAATGGCTTTTTCAGCATTAAGATTGATAGGAGCTTCTATATTTTTTGAAGCAGATGAAGAGGAAAGGAGATGCTCTACTGATTTTATCCTCTAATATAGGTTTCTAATGTGATTTTTATTCCAAATGAAGAGAGCACCTAGTATTGTATCAAGCTTATATTGGATCTGAAATGTGCGAGAACCATCTATGATTTGATTCCAGTTGTCCTCTGTAATTCTTGTACATTCTTGAAATTTATACCAAAAAGTTTTAAACCTTTTCAATTTAGTTTGTTTAATGAAGCCGAAGGTGTTCACTATCAAAGGGGCATGATCAGAGGCAGCTATACCTGTAGTGTCTGCGTGGGTAGAAGGAAAAAGAGGTGACCATGCAAGGTTGATAAAAGCTTTATTCAACTTCTCTAAAACTAAATATTCTTTTTCTCTGTTGTTAGTCTAGGTAAAAGGAGCTCCATTTATAATTATAGGCAATAAGTTGCAATCATTTATGTATTTGTTGAAAGCTATTATTTTGTCACACCTCTCTTTATAACTTATTATATGTCAATTGGAACAATTATAAAGTGATTCACAATGTTTCCGGATGAAAATTTTAACTTTAAAATTTTACTTTTAATTCTGTCCGTACACTATTCATCTGAAAATGAGTTAATTTTGAAAATTCATAATTAATTCTAAAAAAATCAAAACGAGGTGGTTCTAATTTTCACATGAAACTTGATAAGATTTCTATAGAGAAAAAATATCATTGGACTCAATTCTATCTAGAAAGGCACCAGAGAATTCAACAAAATGCACTGTTCATCTAGTCAATTTTCCCATTTCCAATATTTTTACCGAACTTTGGAAGGGCATAACTCTTAGCACAAAACTCCAAATTTGATGGTTTACCACTTGATTTAAAGATAAAAATGAGATATATAAGCCTGTAAAATTTCATGCTGAAATTTCAACAAGTGCTCATTATTTTATGTGCCACAAATTTGGTACTATTTAGGAAATTTCTATCCCCTACTTGCCTCTTTCTTTAATTTATTTCCCCTTTTTCTTTTTCTACATTCTTTCCTTAATGTACCATGCATAGTTCCAATATTAGGATGTGAGGGTAAAGTATAATACATGTCATAACATCATTCATATCTAGATACAACCATAACATAAGGTTCATTACACATTGCATAACAATTCACCATAATACAATGTTCATAAAACTCCTTTATCCCAAGATGAACTCCTTTCCTTGCTCCATAGTTGAGCTATTCCCTATTAGAGACATAATGTGACATAGGGGGAATGAGGTTTCTAAGAAATCTCAGTAGCATTTGAATTACAATTATCATGCAAATCAAGCAAGTTATCATGTGACATGTTATCACACCTCAAGGCGTAATCAGCCACATAGAATCATGCTTAATGCCATGCTAAAAGAGGAACATCAACACTTCTATGATGACCTAATTCAACCCATACCACAACACAAGTTTCTCTATCCAAACAAACAACAAATCACATTACACAAGCAAGATTAACAATCAAATTGTAATTCAAAGCTACCTTTTTAATACTTGTCCAATTGGTTACTCCAAGAACAAAGCTTCCTCTTGGTTCCTTCTCACAAGGCCTATTAAACCAAGCATAAACATGGGCCACATTAATCACTAAACAACTTAATTACAACACTTTAACTTCTACTTAACAATTTCCCCTTTTTTCTTTGATTTTTAACAAAATGATTCCTCTTTTAGAATCAATAACCTCATGACTCATTTCTAAACAATTTTTCATGAGGAATCCAATGGTGCAATCAGATTTTTTGAAATTCAAACTCCTCCCCCATGAATAGTAACTGGCCGAATAGGGGGTTATATATCTCTAAAAATTCTATTTTTGATTCCAATGATTTTAAACACTTTCCAACAATATATCCCTACACAAAAATATGTTTTAAAGCCATTGGAATCATCAAATCAAGCCAAAACAATCAGCTCCTACGTGAACAATAGCTGGTTGAAATTCCTTCCCTTAAACCCTAACTTTGATTTCATTCAAAAATCAATCCATACACCACTTAATCTTCCTTATTCCACTTGATTATTAAGATTTCTATCCTTTCTTAAGCATCACATGGCTAGATTGAAATTTACAGCATTTTTACATAATTGTCCAAGTCAAAATCCTAATCCAATCAATGTAAAACTTAAGGATAATGATGCTTAGACATACCTTAATGTTTCCTTGGTGTAAGTTGGATAATTCCTTGCATAAAACACTCAAGAATTTTGAAGAAGCAGGGCTGGAGCTACAGTGACAGAGTCTCCCCTTATTTTTTCCAATTTTTCCAACATTTATTTGTATTTTCTAAGGGGGTATTTATATAAAAATTAAGCTGCCTCTCCCTCTAATTTTGGACAAACAAATGGCAGAAAAATGGGGTGAGTTGGCAGCCATCAAGTGCCTTAAACCTTCAGGCCACGTTTGGTACGCAGCACTAGAGGCGTAGGACAGGGATTGGGATAGGGAATTAGTCAAATAAGCATGTTTGGTAGGTGGTATTAAAGAAGCCCAAGGATTGCACATTACCACATAGGTAGGATTGGGCAAACCCACCTCCCCCCTGGTATTGCATTTTAAAACTTGGGATTGAAAATTTTAAAGACAAAAATATCCCCACTTATAATAAATTTTGGACAAGTTTAACCTTCTTACATTTGCCCTCATTTGATATGTGTTGAGGAAATATTTCATCGACCTCTATAGCCTTCTTCACACACGCTCTCGACCATCGCTCGTGCCGTCGCCCTCGGAGTTGCTCCCGGTCCCTCTCTTTGTCCAATCCTCTTCAATGACTGGTAAGATAAACTGTATCCCTTTTTTTTTTGGTTTCCATCATCAATTTTTTCAGCCTTCTTCGATTCACAAATTCTTTGCCAGCCATATTCAGTAACAGTTGGCTTGTTACTTGGTTGATCTGATTGCCTAAGCCTCACATTTGTTTAGTATAAAACTGGATTAATGTGAATTGACTGGGTATTACATTCGAGCTTTGGTGGCTATGGACCACTGAATGAATAACATTAAGAAATCCCTATGAATGGGTTCAATTGAAGCTTCTTCGGTCACCGCCCACCATGAGCAAGAAAAGCGATATCATTATGTGCAAGCCGCCGAAGCATATTCCATTTATCATTATTGTGATCTCGTCACCTTTTCCTTTTTTAATTTTTCTTCTTACATAATTCCTCACTTTCTCTTTTTTGCTGTGCTGATGTCCTTTGGTTTTTCCATTGGTGTGGTCTGATTGTAAGCTAAGAACATTTTTCAAGGTACTACTATTCATTAGCTCTGTTTTAAAACCATTTGATAAAGCTAAAAACAAATCAATGCCTATGGTTTCATTTATAAATAATACAGTCTTTATAGCCTTTTGGTTTTGAAGCCAATTGCATTTGAAATTTGGAGGCTTGAAGGAAGAGTATGTAATTTGCCACAATTTTTCAGAATTTCCCCTGACAAAGCATACGGACTCTAGTTTTAAATTTATCTCTATGCTTCTTTTTGGTTTTTGATGTATTAAGCATTGATTTGTTTCTCTATATAGGTGAAATAAAATTCTTTTCTTTGTATAGTGGCTTGTTATGAAAAACAGATTTTCTGTGAAGGTTACGAAGTGCTGTGTGTCACTTTTTATCAAAGCAAATATTTACTGGATCCCTGAAGGTTTACTCTTTACACTGCATTATACATCTATTGGGACATACGAGTGCTCTCTTACAAAGTTCTTTACCTTGTATTGTTGAATGGTCTCTTACGAGTGTCTCTATTTTTAATTTGGATGGTCTTTGTCCAAAAAGAAAAATATAGTTGAATGAGGCTAAACTCAGTCAATGATTATAATTTATACATGTTAAACAAAATTTTTATGACTCTACATAATTGGTTATATAGTTATGGCACTATCAGAAGAAAAGAGAGAACTATTACGTTTGTTGCTTTTATGGGTGAGCATGGCTAAGGCAACGGAGGGTTTTTTTTTATGTGCGTGCATGACTGTCATATCAAGAAGGCGAAGAATTAGACACATACCTTACAAAATGGACTTTATTGCTAAGAGATCTTATCTAAAGGGATTGGTGTGTAGTAGTGATGTAGCATGTTACAACCTACTAAGAATGAATAGGACAACATTTGATAAGTTATGTTTATTACTAAGGGATGTGGGTGGTTTGAAGCCTAGTAAGAATATGCTTGTAGATGAGTAAGTTGCAATATTTTTACACATATTAGCACATCATGTGAAGAATAGAGTAATACAGTACAATTTTGGTAGATCTGGAGAAACTATTAGTTGGTATTTGAACTTAGTACTCAATGGTATGATGAGACTTGGAGATATGTTATGGAAGAAACCAGAACCTGTGCTGGAAGATTGAAATGATGATAAGTGGAAGTGGTTCAAGGTAAATATACATGTTATATCCTGATTATTAATTTTTAAGGATATGTGTAAAGTGTGTAATATTTATTTTCTTTGTTTCAGCGTTGTTTAGGTGCATTGGATGGAACTCACATTAAGTTGAGAGTTTCTTCTATTGACAAAGCTAGATACCGGAATAGGAAAGGGGAGATTACAACAAATGTGTTAGGTGTTTGCTCACAAGACGGGTATTTCATATATGTTCTGCTTGGGTGGGAAGGATCTGCAGCAGATGGACGTGTTCTTGGTGACGCCATTAGTAGGAGGAATGGCTTGAGAGTTCAACAAGGTCATTATTACCTAGTTGATGCTGGATACACCAATTGTGAAGGATTTCTTACACCATACAAAGGACAAAGATATCATTTAAGTGAATGGAGAGATGGACGACATCCTAGAAATGCACGAGAGTACTTTAACATGAGACACTCTTCTGCAAGAAATGTAATTGAAAGGTGTTTTGGAGTTTTGAAGTTAAGATGGGCTATTCTAATAAGACCATCATTTTATCCCATTAGAACATACAACCGAGTAATAATTGCTTGCTGCTTATTGCACAACTTAATTCGACAAGAAGGTATAGATCCTCTAGAAGATGAAGTTGAAGAAATGGAAGTTCATATGGACGGGGTGGAGAACCCTCCAATTGTAAACATAGATGCATCTGATGAATGGGTTGCCTTTAGGGACAATCTTGCTAATGAAATGTTCAACACTTTTACTACTAATAGAACAGCTACATGAAAGAATTACTTAATTTGGAAGTTGTTTTTTTTGGTTTGTGACCATTTTCCATGTGTAATGTTGTAACTTTATCTGTGGCATGTGTGTTATTGTAACTTTATCTATGGCTTTTGTACTATTGTAACTTTATCTATGCCTTTTGTATTATTGTAACTTTATTTATGCCGTGATTTAGTTTATGACTCTTTGCCATGTGTACTATTGCTACTTTATGGTATGAAGCTTCTTGGTTGCATTAATTTTATATGAGGTTCTAACGTATTTTAAATGTTATAGTTGATTAAACATGTCAGACAAATCAAGAAAGTCAGATAAGCATGTGTGGACACCTGAGGAGGATGAGCTACTAATCCAGTGCATGATGATACTACATGATAAGGGTGAACTTGTTTCTGAAAATGGTCTTAGGCCTCGTGTCTTGAACCAATTACAGGACATGCTTCATGGTCTTACACCTGGATGTAGTTTAAAGGCCCATCCTCACATCCAATCTAGGATTAAGAAGCTTAAAACTAACTATGGTGTTGTTTATGACCTTCTGAAATTATCTGGTTTTGGTTGGGACAGCGAGAAGAAATGTGTGACAGCTCCGAAGGCAGTATGGGATGAGCTTATCAAGGTAAATCTAATTACTTATCATGTATGGATATCTGGTTTTGATTAGCTGTAAAAAAATGGTTGGAAAATTTACTTATCTAGTTTTGCATTGTTATTTTTATGTCTATTATATTTGATTTCATGGAAATAGGTGAATAAGGATGCTGCTAGGTTTAGGAATAAGTCCTTCCCTCATTATGAAGAGCTTCATGATATCTATGGGAAGGACAGGGCAACTGGGAAGGATGCTCAAGCTTGTGAAGATGTAATTGAAGAGATAGATGATCAGAATGGTGTAGACAATTCAACATTTAAGACTAATCTTGAGGCTGACATGGATATCTCTCATGGAAATATTCCACCACCAAATAACAGTCCACTAGAAACTGAAACTGATAACTCTCCGTCTGAGGCAAGTTTTGGGTTGAAAAAACACAAGCACAAAAGCATTGATCGTGACGATGTGCTTATCCTTGGAATGGAGAAATTTGCTAATTCATTGGCTGAAGGTTTTAAGGAAGCAAGTGAGTGATTAGGAATACATATTGACAGGGTTGATCGTGAGAAGCGCCTGGATGGGATGAAGGAGTCGCTCTATGGTGAGATTTCAAAGGTTGAAGGACTTTCTCATCAAGAGCGTCTTTCGGCCTATGTTAAGATGATTTCTGATGAGAGCATACTAATTGGATTCTATACCATCCCTCAAGATGCGAAAGCAGATTTGGTCCGCCAAATAATAAATGCATAGGCTATGATGGATCTTTTTTTTTTTTGGATATTCCTTATTTTGATGGATCTAACTGACATGGATATTCCTTCTTTAACAGATATTTTGTTTCAGACCTTTCTCATTTTGATGGATCTTTTGTTTAAGATATTCGATGGTTTGATAGATATTTTGTTTTAGATCCTGCTTGTTTTGGTGAATATTTTATTTTAGATATTACATTGTTTGATGTGTATTTTGTCTAAAATTTTCTTTATTTTGATGGGTATTTTGTTTTACATATTTTGTCTAAAAAACCCACTTTTGCTAATGTTTAATTTTTATGAGCTATTGATTAGCAATTCTTTATTGTCATTTTTATTAGCCATTCACTTTTGCTCAAGAGGGGGAAGCTGATGTGATCCGTCAAATAATATCTTCATAAATATGTTGATGAATATTTTGATAGTTGTGTGGTTGAAGTTGGATAGTTTGAATTCCTTTCGTGAGGAATTTCTTTTGAGACATGGAATATTTTGTTTCAGACACACATGGAATATTTTGATAACTTTTTGGAGCAAGATGTGGATTAGCTTACTTATCGATTTGCTTCTTATCTTTTGATCTTATGAATTGTTAATTTTAAAATGTGTTACCAAATTTTAAGGAATTAGTGATGACTTTTTTTGGATAAAAATTTTATAGTTTTGAGAAGTTATTAATGATTTTTTAACTATTCAATTTAATTACTATTGATTTTTTATTACTTTTTTATATATAAATTTGCTAGAATATGATGGAAAACCATTTCTGATTTTTAAAATATTTAATTATTTATTTATTTTTTGTTATAACTAGAGGCAAAATTTAATGCATTTATTTTTTTGGAAAAAAATCATCTCGCTGGTTTCCTTTTATACAAAAAAGAGTGCGCAAGGTTGCAGTCAGCGCAAGGGGTATTCTGGTCTTTTAATCTTATATATTTTATTATACAATAAAATGGATGCATGTATTCCTTCCTAATATTACCTCATACCAAACATAAAATAAAAGCCTCATTCCCAATCCCATTACCATTACCATTCCCATTCCATCAAAAGCCAATCCCACCTACCAAACATGACATCGGATCTCACCATGTGGCTTTTCTCTAAATTTTTCCACGCAATTATCCCTTAATTTCACATTTTATTTAATAAAAATAGAGAGACCTGGAAGCTGCACGAAATTGGGCCCTTACTGTGCTCAATGTGGCCCCCACAAAAGGTTTGCGCTGGTCCAAAAAGATGGCCTACAAACCAAATCACTATCTCAAACCAATTTGAAACTTTATCGGTCACTATTCACTAGTAACATTTCATAATTTTTTCAGACCTCCAAAAATTCATTTCTCTTCATGATAATTCACCTTTTAATAAGAAAATATGATATAAAAATTTTCAGAATTTTTTTGCCACCTCTAGGTATTTATTTTGAATTTTCTTTGATTAAGCCTCTATCGGTGTCACTGTGGAAAAATAAATTCTCTAAAATTTATTTCTGAGCTTTCAAGGCCTAAAACTAATTTTATAAATTCAAATAAGTATTTAGATGAATTATCCATCTTTCTTCCAAATTTATTGAGGCCTCCAACTACTTAAAATAATTATTTTCCTTCAATTTCTCAATAATTTTTCCAAAAACCTCTATTTACGAGAAATTCCGTAATAATTTATTTTCACCAAAATTTCACCTTTCGGATATCAACTGAGTTTCCAAAACTTTCAATCTACACTTTTCCCATTTTTTAGGAATTTTCTGAAATTTTTATCAAATTTGTCCGTTTTGGCCTTTTTAAACTGATAATTATGAAAATGCTAGTCTGAACCTTTTCGGGGTTTCACATCAAAAGTTGTTTCATCCCCCCATCTAGTTCATACATTGATCTCATCCCAATTTTAATCCTTTATAGTCATGTGAAAATTTTTAGGATGTGACACATTCCACTATTCTCTCTTTTATAATTCAATTTTTCTTTAGAATCACTTATCTGATTAAAGTCTCCCATCAACAACGAAGGTCCATCAATTAGAGGATTCACCATTCTAATCTAATACCATGGAAAATGACTTGAAGAATGGGAAGGAGGACCATATATAAATGACACAAAGAAACAAGCAACAAAGGACTTCTCATATATTTTGCAATGACAAACAAAGGGGTTTAGATCTAAAACCAAAATATCAAAGTTACTAAACCAAGCAACAAAGGTTCCCCTAACTTTTCTAATTGCATTAGTACTAGCAAAGCCTGAAAATCCTATGTTTACATATGGAAGGCCACTCCGAAAACCACCATGGCATATAAGTCATTGGAGTATGAACACTTGGACCTTAAGAAAGATAAGAGCACGTTCTAAGAGCCCAAAAGGAGCATTTGAAGCCAATCCTTATGTTATTAAAGGCCCAACACAATTATATGCGCCTGGAGGAATCCATTAGAGCTATAATCTTTTAAATTGGGGCCCAAATGCATTTTGTTATGGACCATGGGACTTTCAGAACGTGAGTCAAATATATTCAAGCCCAAATGGATGCCTAAAAGGCCCATGCATGCTTATGGACGTGAATAGTAATTATGAAGATCCATTTGGAAGGTCCAAGAAGCATCAAGAAGGCGTCTTTATGTATTAGTTATGGTTTAATTTTGTTTTTTTTAAGTTTCCATTTTTATTTGCATTAAATAAGGCCTTTTAGTCAAAGATTGCATAAGAATATTTTAGGTTAGTTTCTTATTTTTAGGTAGCAGCCTTTTTCTTCAAGAAAAGGTAATTTCCTATTTCCTTTAGCCTTAATTGGTGCCAACCAAGATAGTCAATCATCATTAAGGCACATTTATGGCATTTATGACATAGGGCTTTTTTATTCTAGATTATTCTTTTGCTGCCTATGTAAGGCTACATTTTTTGTAATTGAAATCAGATTTGAATGAATGAATTTTAGAGAATTTTATTTCTCTCGAGTGAGCTTTACTTGCCGCCTCGTATTCTCGTGGGAATACTCGACTGTATCAAGGACTGATCATCCTTCTGGTATCTCCATGGCTAGGGTTGTAAGAGACAGGTTCTCTTAAGGTCCTACCTTCGATCGTTCGTCTAGTTTCCTAACTTGTTTCTAGCCGATCCGTATCCGTACCTTATATCATAAGATCTAGAATTATAACCTTTGTCACCTCCATAAGAGGAAAAAGAAGCCCAGTAAGCTGCATTGAAAAAATGATCCCAACCAAGAGAGGATTTTCCAAGAAGAAATATGTAATGAGCATCTAGCGTTGCTTGAAGAATTTTACTTTCCAATCACTCCTATTGATACCTTTACTTAATCGCACTCCAACAATACCAAGAGTATTTTTAATAGTTATTTTTGCCAAGTGTTTAGAAAGGCAAAGAGGACTAATCTTTGTCAATCGTGAAAGATTTAGTGGATTATTCAACATATGTAGATGGTGCCTAGAGATATTCAATGTCTATCTATCTATATGATTATCAGAACCCACAAAGCAGTAACAAGGATTCATGAGGAACTGGCAAAGACATTGAGGCACAGATGAGGAATGATTTATTTGATATATCAAGCATTTCCTCCCAACACAAAGTTGTAATGTAGCAGCTGGTGAAGACACCCATTCTAATAAAGAGATTTTAGTGAAAAGAGCAATA